ATAATGAATTTATACTTATGTGCCCTTTGTGATTCAATCGTTCAGTGGGATTGGGACGGTGATTTGAACCAAATCAATGAACTTAATCACTGGCTGCCAAAGCCAGCAGTGACCGTCTCACAACACCTCAACGATATGATTCGGCGACCCTCTGGCTTATGCATCAGGGTTCTGTGAATAATTTAATTCAATAAGGGCAAGAATAACTCAGAGGCAAATTTGCAACAGGAAATATGTAGTTTTCGTTTCCACTCTAGCTTATTTCTCTGCCTTAACATACGGCCGCTCTCTAAACACAAGAAATCCAGCCAAACAATAAACCCCAGTACTCGAGCCTGAACATCATTTGAGGCCACTTCAGAAATTACATAAGTACCTCTCAAATGCTGTATTTACCAAGAAAAGAACACCCAGAGTGGCAGAAGTAGCCTAGACAGGCAGGTCATCTAATTGGGTTGTCACGTGTGAGTCTAGTGAGTACCGAGGTCAACTCAAGCCATGACCATAAATTCATGACTTCGCGCTTGAGAGCCCGCCTCGATTACCCATACTCACACTAGCTACACACGATGCTGCCAGAAAATTATCTCGTCGCCAGTTCTCTTACTGCAGCCATCCTCTATGGCGTTAAAGCTCGTGCGAGTCCGAGTTACTCGCGCATGATCACCAAAACTCTCGCAGTATCTCTACTCGCGATCCTCGTCAAGATCGTCAATGGACCGACACATCTTCTAGCTGCATTGAGTTTCGGATCTCTGGGCGATGCTTTCCTTGCTTGGAACTCTGAACCAGCATTTCTAGCAGGACTTGGAAGCTTCTTAACATCGCATCTTTTCTATATCGCGCTTTTCTTTGAGACAGGTGCAAAGAGGCTGGTTCTAGAAGATCAAATACGCGTCGCTATCGTCATATCAGCTGTCTTACTTGGACCTACGATGTTGACGCTATTGATTCCGAGGGTCAACAGCGAGCTTCGCTTACCTATTCTTCTCTACACCTGTGCAATTCTGGGTATGATATTCTCGGCATTGACGATCCAGAGCGATAAACTCGCACTGGGAGCTGTTGTGTTTACGGTATCTGACACCATTCTGGCCTCTGGGAGATTCCTTGTGGCTGCATCATCTTCTCATCAAGTCTGGATGGACTATGCTGTTTGGATTCTGTATTACTCGGGACAATTCATGCTTGCAATGGGGACTCTGGAACAAGCTGGCATACAGTTGGGCACTAACTGAACTGGAAAAATGGGCGTTGATTGTTAATGTGAGACAAGAGATACTAGCTAAGCAGTGACACAAAGGAGAAAGAGATGCGTATTTCAACATTTCTATGGGGTGCATAATTGGACAAGGGATGTTTATGATACAACCCCCCACTCGTTAGGATCAATGGCAAATTTAAAACTCTGCTTGAGGTCAGGATGTGTTCTGGGAAGAGTGGAAAGGTGTCGAAACTTACATCCAAGTTCGCATCAGATTCAGCACCGTCCTTGTCTTGCATCGATAGTTTGACGATCCGCGTTTTCTTCTCTTGTAACTTCACGACAGTCTGTAGGGAGTTAGTCTGCATCGTCATGGTGAAACTTGAGACTTACGTTCTCAATTGATCCAGCTGTTATGTACTTGAAAATGGTCACTGGCCTCTTCTGGCCCATGCGGACGACTCTCGCTATCGCTTGTTCTTCGATTGCTGGGTTCCACTGCGGTTCAACGATATGTACCATGTTTGCTTCCGTGAGAGTGAGACTAAACGGGGGTTAGTATTAAATACCTGGAACTGAAATGTAGACCTACCCCACTGCTCCAGTGTTGATGGATATGAGAAGAACTCGAATCATTGGGTCCTGACAGAACCTGGAGAGCAGCTCTGTTCGGCCTAGCAGCGGGTTACGTCCGTCAACCTGAACAAAAGCAATGCCTTCGGCTCCCAATATGGCTGCCAGGATATCGAGAGTATCTCTCCAACTCGAGAAAACAACACTGTCTAAACATCAATAATACTATACAAGATGAGCTTTCGAAGACTTACCTCTTAGAACCCGCGTCCATGCATGATTTCTTAATGTTGTCCACGACCGCTGACATCTTTGAAGATTTCTGTTTCAACTCATGGCCCGACTGTCGGTAAAACTCTCCAGTAGAAGGTTCTGGTATATCGATATCCATCACAGATGGCGTTGGAGATGGTATCGGCCTAGGTGAGAGTGCCAGGGAGGAGGCTTCGTCATTCATCTCAGACTCAAGTCGACCGCAAATGGGACAGCTATCGAGACCACCAAGAAGATCAGCATTTCCAGTCCTTTCGTCACAGAACTCGCAGGCTGGCTCTGCACTCGGCGACCTTGAGGCTTTCCGTTTTGCTTTCGGCACACTCAACTGATTCGTGCGTTTTGAGCCGCAAGCACTGATAGTGATAGCTCCGTGGTTGCAAACCCTCCTGAGTTTCATGATTGCCGAGAATAAAATGTTAGACTTTTTGGAGTTCCCTTCTTTGCCGGCCATCTTGTCAAAATCTTCTTTGCATTGGTCGAGAATGCTTGTGAACATAGACTTCTCAGTCTCGGTGGGCGTTACGTCGATTTTTTGTATGCTGCTGGGCGGAAGGTCTAACTTCGCTTGTGTTCTCCGCAAGCAACACACTTTGAGCATGATTTTCAGGTTTCTAGCCCCATCGAGTCCGTTCGGTTGATCCTGTGGTTCTTGTCTGAAAGGCTTGACTATGTGCTGTTCAAACAGGTTGCTTTGGCATAAGGGTTCAAAACGTAGGAACTTCAATAGCGATCTGAGGTCGTCGAAGCTATTCTGAATGGGTGTTCCGGTCAGGCACCACCGGGTATCGCTTTCAAGGGCAGCTGCGGCTTTGTGCAATTTGATTGAAGAGTTCCGTATTTGATGGGCTATTTAACGTATTTGTCAGAGGAACTTTAGTCATCTCGTCACGTATCTAGGGACTTACCTTCATCGAGTACAACTCTCGACCAATTGATAGAGTTCAGAATCTGATTTCCCCGGTTGTCTTTCTCTAGGGTGTGATACGTCGTGAGGACGATGTCATGACCGAGAAGAAGTTCCCGCTTTTTGGGTCGCGCATCTCCGTGGAAAGTGATAGTTTTGAATGTGTGAGGTTGGAATCGCCTGCATGTGGTTAGTCTGATGGTGGTGGTATGTGATCTAGAATATTTACCTATCGATTTCATTCTGCCAAACATCAAGCACCTCTTGATGTTGTCAGTATATCTTCCATATGTAGAGTAGATTTGAGACCGAAACTTACGTCGAGATGGTAGAACAACAAGAGTCATATTCAGTGGTGAATGGTGCCAAGCGTCACTGTTGCTCGTAATGTCCTTGGAGAAAGACTGGACTAGTTGTTTCGAGCAAAGAATCGCACTCAGCATGGTCAGTGTCTTGCCAAGGCCCATCACGTCTGCAAGTATTCCGCCACGACCCGGTTTGTCTGAGTGAGATAGCAAGCTATATAGAAAACACAGAGTCGGTTACTCGCATGTATTCGCATAGATGTCAACAAAACATACCTATGATGGATCGATAAGAGCATGTGTCTGTGCATTTGCGTGGCTACTTCCTCGCTCTCGCGGCCAAGAATGAACTCAACACCTTTCAGCTGATGCCTATTGGTGCTCAGGATTAGCATCTCATAGTATTGTTAAGCTTTCTGATTGAAGGCATACTCTTTGAGTCTTGTGTTAAGAAGGAACTGATCCAGAATCGGATGAAGATCTTGGCCACCACCACTGGGCACCGGAATCTCCTCCGATAAAACGTCCAGGGATCCCATGACACTTTCAACTTCTTGAGAAACCTTGGATTTAGTGTGGCTTTCCCGAGCGCTTGAGCCAACCAAATGTCTGAGGTCGGTCTTCTGAGAAGTTGGGTAAAAGAATTGAGGGTTAATGTATGGGATACCAGGTTCCAGGAATACAGGATGCTGAAGATAAGTACGATAAGTGCCAATCTCGGACAAAGCCTCATCAACATCACCGATCGAGTTTCTAGGACCATAGATGTTGACTGAGATGTCAATAGGTAGGCCCTTTCCAGATCTCTTCCGCTTGCCACGAAATACATCGACTCCAAAGACTGCCGCGAAGGATATGTCTCCGGACCTTCCAGCTACGAGCGTCAGAATCGCGGCTGTATCACAATCAAGAACTGATCTCTTCTTCGGGCTAGTCTCCCCGTCATCAACCAAGTAGTGAGTTCTTCCGTCAGGTTCGATCTTGAATAAACAATATCTGGCCCACGGCTGCGTCTCATTTGGCATCTGAGTGTGAGGATTCAGCAGAACCTGGGCTCCGCAGATCTATGTCCAGTGTCAGCGCTTGAAGATCCAGATCACGAGTCGCCTTACCGCTCCGTAACATATCCATTCCTTTTCGAACTCCTCTTCTGTAACGGATATTCCATCTCCAATGTCATTTGTATCACTCGGAGAGTCCAAATCCATGCCAGAGTCAAAAGAATGGGGAGAATTTCCTCTGTCGAAGCAGACAGCCTGTCTTTGGGCATCCATGTATGAGCTGCCGTTTTCGGTATCATTTTTGGAGTCTCTTCGTCTCTTTAGAGGTCGCGTCATATCGGAATAGGTATATTCAGATTCTTTCTCAGTTAGTCCCTAGATTGGGGGAGGATTGGGGCAGTCTTGTGAGATTGGCCGTCCTGCTTGGCTACCGCCGTAGCGGTCAACCTGAAAAGCCTTAGCAGTTGTTTTGAGGCGTTAGGCAATCTCTTCAATCAGGCTGTGTTGAGATACGCGCCGAAAATCACAGCACTGCCCCGCTTGTCATACCCCAACAGTTGATTCTTCATTCTTGTTGGCTGAAGTCCTCAGCCACGAATCAAAAGTCGGTCTGCCTTGGGTTGAAAATGAGGCGAAGTGCATATCGTTTGTTGATACCAGGCCTAGTCCCCAAATACGGTTCCTTCGCTTCATCCCACATCTATCAACAACCATCAAACGACCATCTACAGAGTAAAATGGCTACAAACTCACAGACCAGCTTCGAAAGGTCTCTAGATCTCTTTCGACGAGAGCTTTCTGATGATCAGATCAAGCAAATGAATGGAGTCAATCAGGAAACTCTGAAAGACACAATCCAGGCGACTCAGAATATACTGGGGCGCAGAAACGACCTTTGCAAACTGTCCCGAGTCCAGAGATTTCTCCACGCTATGGAACATGTTGAGAAGCTTGTCTCAATATTCCTCAACGCCAGTGACTTTGTGGCTTTTGTTTGGGTAAGGCAAGCTGTCGATTGCCACCATTTTGGTATTAACGATGTACTCTAGGGACCGATCAAGCTGGCGCTTATGGTTGCCACCACTTGGACAGACGCTATCAGGCAGCTGATTGACGCTTACGAAGAGATCGCAGAAGCGCTAGGCAATCTTGCCTTCTTCCACAACCTCATGCAGAGTAGAGATCATTTGAAATTGGTATTGGAGGATTATTTCTCTGATATTCTTCGATTCCATCGATGCGTTCTGGACGTTTTCTCTCGACCAGGTTAGTGTACCCGTCCCCGGATATCTCCTACACTTTGCTCAATTGTTGCTTCAGAATGGAAAAGAGTCTTTAAATGGGCCTGGGGAAGCTTTCGACGTGAAGTGAAACCTATTCTCGAAAGTCTGAAGCGCAAACAGGCCTTTCTATCAGATGAAAGGCTGCAATCTCACGCTATCCTCAAGGAAGTCCAAGATTCTGACCAGTTCGCCAAGGACCAGTTCAGCAACCTTCAGACCAGTCTCGAAGACATAAGATCTACTTTGGCCTCTGAACAGTTACAAACTAAAGCGCTGCAAGCACAAGAGATGAGGAGCTACCTGGAAAGCAGACTAGATATTTCGAGATCTCGAACCGACCTTCAATTAGAATCGAGAGATCCGATGATCAAGACCTCTGGAAATTGGATCTTTGCTGATTCAACTTTTCAATGCTGGGAAGGAGGAAAGTCTGTAGATAAAAGGGTCTTATTCCTCAATGGCTCCCCCGGTTCCGGTAAGTCATCTTCCTAATTACTGTTCAAGCATCACATGTAGACTAACTCATCGACATCAAGGCAAGTCGACCTTAGCAAAGACGATTATTCGCCACCAAAGATTGAAGCAAGCTTGTGTCTCTCCCGGGCGGTCTTTCTTAGCTTATTTCTTCTTTAAGCACAATACCACGGATCGGCAAACGGCCCGGTCGATGCTCCAACACGTCATCATGCAACTCGTCGATGCAGATGAAACTATAATGAGGTTCGCGCATGAAAGACTATCCACCAAAGACGTTACCGAACTTGCCGACCTCAAGGAACTGGCAGGTGAATGCCTGACATCTCGGCCGAATGCAACGCTTGTCCTTGACGGACTAGACGAGGCGATGGGCAATGAGCAAGAAACCTCTGTCAAGTGGTGTCTGGACAAACTTGCTCCAGCCGCAAAATCTAGCGGCTGCCATCTGAAAATACTGTTTTGTGGACAGAGAGACGGAAAACTCGACAGAATACTATCATCTCATCCTCAGATCCGACTGGACCTAGTAGATGCTCACCAAAAGGACATTGAGCAATTCACGAAAGAGCAAGCCGCGAAGATACGAACTAGATTTCGGTTGTCGGCGCAGGAAGAAAAGAGCCTAGTCTCCAAGATAGCGGGCGCATCTCGAGGTACGAATTTTTACCAACATACGGCCATGATACTTACCTGACCAGGGATGTTTCTCTATGCAAGAGTAGTGCTTGATAATCTTGCAGCAATGGATTCAAAACGAGACTTCAAAGACGAACTGGAAAGCGATGCTTTCCCGAAAGATCTGGATCAAGCGTAAGCAGGGGAAAGGTATCAGGGATTGTGTGACGTTGCTAACACAGTCAGTTATGACCGTATCACTCAACGTGTTCTGCAAAACAATCGACCCTCACGTGACACAAGCGTGAAGAGGATCCTGGGATGGATTATTTGTGCCGCGAGACCCCTTCGATGGCGCGAAATACAGTCCAGATTCTGCATCGATGCAGAAAAGCAGATTTGTGACCTTGATAACCTCCGTCTAGACAGCTGCAAACGGATATGCAGCTCTTTTGTTGACATGACGGATTGCGAGTTGTTCCCAAGAACTGAATCCGAACAGGTTGTCACTATGGTCCACGAAACAGCAACTCAGTAGGATTACAGACCATCTCAAGGCATCATAGTACGCTGACATCATCATAGATATCTCATTCGCAACAAGACGGTCAATCTACTAGAGGAGCATATCGACATGGCGCTTTTTTGTTGTCGATACCTATCCTCTCGACCTTTTACTACATGCAAGAGCCAAAACATCACTTCCGATATTCTTTCAGGATACTTTGGATTTTTGGATTATGCTGCTGCTCAGTATGCCACCCACGTACAGAAGGTTGAGCTTTCAGAACTTTCTAAAGACTCAGCAACAAAACTGGAGTCTGTCAAATCGGCAGCAGTTGATTTGGCAAAGATACATTGCAAGGACGCCTCAGTCGAAGCAGGAGAGATATTTAAGGCAGCTGAATATCTGAAACTGGCAATTCAAGATAATGTGCTCGCTGTGCGTACCCTTATCGGCCTACAGCGAGAGAAGTCAGCACCCGCCGCCTTCGATGCAACTGAAGGGCCAATCAGGCACAAATGTCATAAGGTTGAATGCTCCAAGTTTGCCACAGGATTTCCGAACGAAACTTCACTTAAGGAGCACCTAGCAGTGCACGAGAGACCATTCAGATGCCCTCATGCTGATTGCTTTGCGCACAACATTGGCTACGCTTCCCCAAAGCGATTAGAAAGTCACTGTGAGGTCTTTCACCAGAGCATCTCCAGAGCCAAAGCGGTCTTTCCTGCTGAACTTGAGGCTGGCAAATGGGACCTTTACGAAGCCTGCAAGACTGGTGACCTCGATGAGGTCAAAAGATTCCATCGTGAAGGAGCGAATCTCAATGGTGTTACAGCAAAATTTGTCACGCCCCTGTGTGCTGCGGCTGAGGCTGGACATGGCCATGTTTGCAAGTACCTCGTCGACAACGGGATTGACCCTTCTGATTATAAACATGATGGAAGATCCTCACGGAATCCACTCACTGGAGCGATCAACGGGTCACATCTAGAGATCTTGGATTTCTTTCTGCATAGTGGCAATGGCTTAGACGATTCGAAGCTGGCGGAAAATATTGCCCGGGCGATAGTCGCGGACCGCCCTGTCATATTGAACATGTTTCTCACCTCAAGAAGACCAAGCGACCACGCGGACGTGATCAACCTGGTTCCAGTTGAAATATTAGATCAGGCCTACATGAGATCAAGCAGAAAAGTCCCGCATTCAGCAGACGCCACGCTAATGCATGCCTGGTTCCAATATGTCAAGCCACAGTTTTACGATGAAAAAGCGGTATTCATTGGACCGTCAGACTGTGCGGAGTACAAGATCTGGGGGGATATATTGTTTCGGCAACTTAATTGCTTCTACAGGGCGCTACTTACGAGATGCTACTCTCTTGCCACATTTCTAATGGACGTCGGAAGTGAGGAGTATTTAAAAATGAGTGATGAGGATAGGGATACACCGTTACATTGCTGCATGCAAGGGCTTTGCAGAGAGGACTGCAGTGGCTGTTTGTCCATGGTTCAGCGCCTTCTTCAATACGATGATGGTGAATTCTCAAATGTTACGGATCGTAATGGCAGCCTACCGGCGCATACAGCATTGAGACGTGATGCCCCGCTAGCTGTTTTGCGAGCTGTTCTTAAGAATACCGGAGACATCAACCACAGGGACAAGTTCGGGAATAGTCTGTTGCATTCGGCATCATCTGCTGAATCGATTTGCGTGTTACTGGAGAACAAGTCTGTTGATCTATTCAGTCGAAACAACAAAGGACAGACCGCATTGTCAGCATATATCGACCGTACTTACAATGTCAAGGGAGGGGTTCTCGACCGTCTTTTCAAAGCAGACCCAGACCTTGCATGGACACCAGACAAATCAGAGGAAGGACTTACACCACTCCATTACGCATTGAAGCTCTTAGAGCACGATAAATCTTGCTCTTACGATCTAAACGATTCATCCAGAATCGTCAAGTTCTTACTTACATGTTCCGAAGTGAAACGAGTCCTGGTGGAATATCAAGCCAAGTCGAGTGATGCCGGTCAGAGAAAGGTACGAGACTTTGCAGAGAAGGGAATGTTACGAGAAGCACTTGATATCATGGATGTAATTGGATTTGGCCAGGTCTGATTTGTATCCAGATAGGTTATTTGCAGTTAAGACTCGTGGCTGAGAGCTTAAATCAGCAGACAGAATGTAGTAGTATGGAGAAGATGTATGGGTTCAAATCGTTTTATTATTTGCTAGATCGGCGGTATCATGCTCGTCAAGTCAGGATGAAAGTACAGTCACTGTGTCCCAAGGTAAGTAAGATAACACCAACGCGTAGGCTGCGATGGCCATTCGACAACTCACGTGCTAAATTCACTGCAGTCGTCGTGTAAGTATTTGTCAGTCTTCACCGAGCAAAGTCAAAAACCAAACTATACGCGGCTGGCCACTTTATGTTTCTGCCCTGGCCTGAATTAGATGTATTGCGGTCAGTAACTCTTATCTTTTTATAGTTATACTGTAGAAACTCATGAGATTCGGAACGCCCTGTAGATACTTTTCTCCTAATTTTACAACTCTAATTAGTATAGAAGTAAATAAAGATCTAATATTACGCTAATTTATGTCTCTCATTAAAAAAGGATAGTAGCTTTAGATCTATAGGGCGTTATAAGTCTCATGAGTTTCTACAGTAATTTATATAGATACCAATCATTTATCGATTGACCACTGTACTCAACTTCAGACCTATCTAAGAATGGGGCGCACACATGACGGACCAACCCTGTAGACTGGCGTTCTAGGCCTGTTTATTGAACGCCATCATCATTGCCAGCTGAGTTTTGACATCAGGTATGGGGAATCAGACGTTGTCCCCGCCCGCCTGACCCCGCTCACAACTCGTATCTTCTCAATTCCTCAAAAACAAGAGAAAAAGGGACTCTTGAGGAAAACCATCGCCAATATCTTCTTAAGTCCACCATGGCTACCACTTCAGCGCCCACTACGCATAAGGCGCTGGTGATGTTCTGCGCACTCGGCAACCCCCAAGACCCTAAAATTAGTTTCGGAGATAATGGCGACAGCATCAACTCTATCGTGCTATGGCTTGGCAGTTCTTAAATTAGCATCGCGACGATGTCGATGAACGGTGCGGTGCCTAGTTGGGTATTGGACATTATGAAATCTGTCGTTGGCGAGTGACTAAGACGCCTGGGTGATGGGCTTACCGTGGATTGGCTTCATCCTGACAGTGCCGCGAAAATCCGTATTTCGTTTCAAACTCATGTGCCCAATTGGAGCTGCGTTGGCGCTCGCGCTCGTCTCTATGGTTAGTCCAAGCCAGCAATGAACTTCAACTTTGGGGGATGGAAAGACAATAGAGTGGTCTACTCTCATGCGTACATCAAGAGGCTGGCTGCGCATCTCTTTGGCCATGCGCTGGGGTTGTAAGTCCAATATCTGTTCTGAGCATAGTATTCTGTTCACAAAGCTCATCTATAATTAGACCTCATGCTCAAGTGAAGCAGACTTTATCGTACAACAAACCTAGACTTGAAAAGCTTTGCGGTGCTTACTACGCTGCTATGATTCAGTCCGCAACAGGTTTCCAGAAGCTACAGGACAGCGACTCAATTATGCACCACGAGCTCCCATCTGCTCTGAGAGGCAGCGGCGCAGATGTACTCCAGGGCGGTCATGGCATTGACAACGAGGCACGCAGCCTTCAGAAGTCGCTATATCCTGCGTGGCCGAAGCCCTCATGTGGCGTCTATGGGGCCAAAAGCATCGCCAGCTTCAACAAGGGAGGGTATGGGACCTGCTATTTCTCAATACCATTGACGAACAATATAGTGGCTGGCCTCTGTCGACTGTATATGGGCACTAATGGCAACTTCCGTCTTCAGTCGAAGATTACCGGCATTAAAAAGAAGAGAGGATATACATGAGAAGTAGGAATTTGGGCTGATACCAACCTTTTTGATGCCTCATACTCTATCCTTTCGTTCGAAGAAGAGGACCAGAGAGTGCAGACCGGTCACACCGAGTGGAAGTACCTATCTGGTGGAAAATCGCTTCAACCTACTGGCGCTTCACTAAGCCGTTCAAGACCATAACCGAAGTTGTTGTCTTTATTACAGGATTTGACACTTTACAGGGACGTAACACAGTCGTGTCCTGGAAAAGGTCGAGCAACGCCCTGCCAAATTCGCAGACACCCAGGATGAGAGAAGCCAACTCCGGTGGCTGACATTGCGGCGAATTGGATGTTGATCCAAAAGCTAGAGCCTTTTGCGCGCAGTGCTCAGTCCAAAGAACATCTGCGTAATATTATGAAACCTCAAGTCCTGGAGCTTTTTCCTAATTTGATTCCCCAGACTAGGTTCTATTATTCTGCGTCGGACCTGATAGCTGATTGCATCGGATTGGTATAGTATCTTAGCTAAAGTCATTGCCAATTTACTTCCCAAGTCAGGCATTTCCATCACTTGATTGATGAGCTAAACGGCACATTGAGCGACATGCCCATGCTGATTCGGTGAATTTGCTTCCTACATCACATTGCTAGGGAAGAGCTGGACTAGATAAGATACCGTTTCACCGGGAAGGTCACCATGATTATATGCAATAGGAGCAACAAAGCGCCCACTCTTCTCCTCTCAACAGCTTTCAATTGCACGTACAGCTTGGTCTGAAAGCAGATTAGATATCAGCGTTGGGCACAATATTGGATGAGAGTCAAGTCCGCACCTCGAGAGAATTGGAGGACTGCACCTCGTCACTCGTTGATGTTGGTTTTGCCCCTGCTAGTTTAGGCGAGAGTTTGGGGATGAAGTCTTATGCGAGCCAATTGGGATCGCTTTTTCACAGAGTCAGCACTCAGCCGCCGGTAACCAATCATTTATTCATCAGAACATCCTACCTTACCACTCGCACGCATGCAGCCGGCTTGTGTAGCTCAGGGGGGTAATTACTAATAACACAACTTGAGCGAAACCCACCTTCAATATTCCCAACTTGCATGTCAGAGCAGTTTCCTGCATCATTATTAGGGCGAATGATAAAGAGTTCAAATATCGCTTGTTCAAGTGGTGATCTGCCATTACCAATGTGTAAGACTCCAATGCGTTCAACGCTGTGGGACGACTTCCTTCTTACGAAAACCATCTCAGCGCTAGGCTTGTATCTAACTTAGTTAGAACGCCGAAGATCTTCGTTTAAGAGTGCTTTTATCACACGCTATCTCATTTCTAGCTGCAGATCTTAGAGTTTATCGTTCTATGTCACTCAACCTCCCGTGGGTATAGAAGCGCGCCCGAAGCATGCCTTCTTCATTATGGGATCAGCCGCCTTGTCTTTGCCCAAAGACTTGTCAATAATGACGCCCCAATCAGGAGCAAGGCCCAATGCACCGGTAGAAGCGGCACTTGGCATCCAAGACTGATTTCACGACTGGAACCTGTGCGAAATGGCTGGAGATCCCAGAAAAGGGATAAGCGACTTATTATTACAGGTGTAGATCATTAAGCAATGATTAATTATCTCTCAGGTTGCATTCAGAGCGAGGCGACCATTCGTCCCTCCTTGTCTTGGAAGTGGAGGTTCTCCAAGGCATGCGGCCATGGGACGCGAACCAGTAGTGGCGCGTCTTGATATGCACACATCAATCGAGCATGTCGCTTGAGACAGCCCACCCTGTGCCGTAAATCCGTTCTCGGATGTTTTGTTTCTTCGGTCGCTTGTGTAGATCGCGGTCTGGATTTATGATAAGGATATGTGATTAGATTACGATGCCTACCGTACAGAATTCTAATTGCTCCGTTATATGTTGTGTCACAACACGTAAGTTGAGTCATAAATATATCCGACGGGTTTTTAGGATCCCATACTGATGTACGCGTCAATCGGCAGCATTCCTGCCATGTCTCATTGCAGCACCAGTCCATCTCGAGCGCAACCTAACCTAGACCGCAGATACGACTCCGGATGACAGACCTCAATTAATACAACACAAACCACGTGGAATCCGAGTTTGACGGATGCAAGTCCGGGGCAACCCACCCCAAGCATCCCATCACCAGCAGGTTTCAGCCTTTATTCTTGCATCTCAGCTAGTAACATAAGCCAGGATACTTTACCCGGACCGTTGGAACTCTCACTTAACGCTCCTATAGGAATTGAACCGTATTATTAACTCTAAATACTTTAAAGAAAAGCTACACGCGCAAATCAGCAAGTGTCGTCTGGAAATAAAATGCGCCAAAGCCTACCCTGCATTTGCCTGATTGCCCCTAGGGCGCAGGAAAACCTTTAACACTAGCCTGGGTTGTCAAAAATACTTAGTCTAAGATCAACCAAAACTTGCATGAGCCTACCCAAGACTTTTCATCACTCAAAACAAATGCTCCAGGTTTTATTTCATCCCCTCAATTCCTTCTCGAAGGATCAACGGCAAGGAATGCCGCTCTTGGCACAGCGCCGGGAGTATGACCCGATAGGTGCGTTAATTCCACGCTAGCAACAGCGCGTCAATCATCAATTGGCGCGCCTGTGACTGCAGTGCGAACTGTTACAGGTTATGGTTCTGGACTTTTCGTATGGCCCACGTGAGATTCGCAGGGGACGGAGATGGAGAGGGGCAGGGATGTGAAAGCTCGCAGCCCTCCAATTTCTTTTCTCGTTTGCCTTTATTTTGTGGTGCGTTTAGCCGGGTCTTTGATGATTCGCTCGCATGTTAATTCCCCAGCTTCTCCAGTGGCCTTGAGGAATAACCGTATACACTGGAGAATCATGACCCGCCTTTCCCCAGACAGAGCAACCTTCTTTTTCTTCTTTTTCTTCTTCCTTTTTCGTTCTTTATTATCGGTTAGTCTGAGTATTCGGTACATAGACTCCCGGATCGGTATGATCTCTCGGGAAGGCACCTCGGCTCGGGCGTAAATACCACGAGGCTCGTGAGTCAAGCGTGGAGATGTTTGGAGTAAAACGGGGAAATTAAGACCGATGCATGCAACCTCGTTCCCAAACCTGGCATGACCCCGAAGCTCACTCCCGCCGGAGTCGCGCCGTAGTGGTGTCTTGATCCGGGGATGCTCTGCGGGGTTTCTCGCGGGGAACTCGCCTCTCATAGGCCGCCCTTGGTCTCCAATCTCCCTCGCCATTCGTGCGTCTAATGCCCGAGGGAACCTTACCCCAGATGCCTAAATCCCCTCCCCATACCCCAGCACGAATGCACGCTACGTATCATCGCCCAAAACCCTCTTTTTGCCGGTTACTCTTAGCTCAAAGGTACTTTTTGATGGCTACTCCATCCTTACTTTGCTGGGTTAAGGACAGGGATCCATACGATCGGCATGTTCCCAACGCGACGTTTCAATTTTCTTATAAAGTGTCAACGCTCGGCACCGTTGCATTCTCTCTTTTTTCTTTGACTCTCACGTTCTCCTCAATCATTGTTGATATCCAGTAACACGTCAACATGAGCACCAACGACGATAACAAGGGCATCTCAGAGGTCAAGGGCGACGGCGCCCACATCGACCATGCCTACGATGTCGAGGCAAAGAAGGAGATGGCCGCTGACATGCAGGGCGCCATCGACGCCGAGAACGCGGAGCACAACATGACCGTTCTCGAGGCCGTTAGAGCGTATCCCGCTGCGTCTCTCTGGGCCTTCAACATGTCTTGCACAATTGTACGCCGCCCCCAAAATTCTCTGTTTCTGTGTTACCCCTCACTGGTGAATTGTGGCTAATTTGAGTGCGTTGTAGATCATGGAGGCTTACTGTGTTTTCCTCATCGGTAACTTCATCGCCCTCCCCGCTTTCGCCGACAGATACGGTATCTGGAGTGACACCAAGGGCAAATATGTCATTGAGACAAAGTGGCAATCTGCTCTCCAGGTCGGTGGCCCCATCGGTGCCATCATCGGTGTCACCATCGCCGGTCCTATCACCAGCCGTATCGGATACCGATGGGCTACTATCAGCGGTCTCATGCTCCTTAACGCCTTCATCTTCATCTTCTACTTTGCCGACTCTCTGCCCGTCATGCTCGTCGCTCAGCTTCTTGAGGGTATCCCCTGGGGTATTTTCATCGCCAACTCTCCTGCCTACTGTTCCGAGATCGTGCCTCTCCAGCTCCGTGCGCCTGCTACGCAGATGCTTCAGATGTTCTGGGCCATTGGTGCGATTATCGTCGGTGCTGTGGCTTATCGCTACAATGATCTTCATGAGCAGGCTGCTTTCCGGTATGTTCCCTCAATTCTCATAACCAATCCCTCAATTCGCTAACAGGAATTCAGTGTGCCTATCGCTCTTCAGTGGATGTTCCCCACTCCCCTCGCCATCCTCATCTTCCTCTCCCCCGAGTCTCCCTGGTGGCTTGTCCGAAAGGGTCGTCTCGAAGAGGCTGCCAAGGCTGTTAGACGTCTCGGACGTTCTACCCACGTCGACAACGCTCAGGAGGCCATTGCCATGATGAGACGTACCATTGATCTCGAGAAGACCGTCAAGGAGCCCAGCTTCATTGAGCTGTTCCAGGGCACTGATGCTTACCGTACTGCCATCGTTTGCTGCGTTTACGCCGCTCAGAACCTTACTGGTAACCTGATCGCTAACCAGGCTGTCTACTTCTTCGAGCGTAAGTGAAATCTCATGCAAGATTTGATGAACTGTACTGACTTGTTACAGAGGCCGGTATGCCTAACAAGACCGCTTTCGCTATGGGTCTCATCACCTCCGCCCTCCAGACCGTCTTCGTCATGCTTTCTTGGATTCTCACCAGTTACTTCGGTCGTCGATCCATCTACCTCTGGGGCTCTCTCGGAAACACTGTCCTCCTGGTTGCTCTTGGTATCGCTGCCACTGTCGGTGATGTCAAGTCCACCGTCAACTCCAACACCCAGGCTGCCCTCGGTCTCATTGTCTCCGTCCTCTTCACCCTCGGACCCGCTCCCGCCTCTTGGGTCATCATCGGAGAAACCTCTGCCATTCGTCTTCGACCTCTCACCACTGGTGTCGGCCGTGGATGCTACTACCTCGTCAACATCCCCTGTATCTTCCTCTCCTCATGGATGCTTAACCCCACTGTAAGTTCACCGTATCCAGAATTCTCAAATCAGCTACTGACAGTGTACAGGGCGCCAACCTCGGTGGCAAGTGCGGTTATGTCTGGGCTGGTACCGGTTTTGTCTGCTTGGTCATGGCATACATCTGGCTTCCTGAGATGAAGAACCGATCTTACCGAGAGATCGACATTCTCTTCAAGCGCAAGGTCCAGGCCCGCAAGTGGAAGAAGACCGTCATCGACGTCCACGACGACGAGTAGATGTTGCTACTCTCAAGAGGAAAACAGCATGGTTTCTCATGGGGAAGATCAAGCTGGATACTTCGTGTTGCTCTGTTTATTTAAGCGGCTGGATTATCTAATGTGGTTTCGTAAATCACATGTCGACCTATGTAGTCATACGGCAGGAAGACGATTTGAGTTGTCTTGTTACCTACAGACTTTCTAGGAATATTTAATCATGATTATCATAATATGTTCGCGCTATCTGTGAATGCTGTATTTTAAATGTTGAACCAACCATGCGGTACGGTACGTGATCTGCACGTCGCGTCTCACAGCATACTGGCCTTGACGCGGTCGCATTTACCAACGAACCAGGATGTAATTGCGGTGTAATATGGGCCGTTGGACTAGTGGCAACTCGATCGGATCTGCCTTTGGACCCCATTTCTCACGCGTCGGAATATGTACCCCCGACGAATATCAGAGTCGTAAGCATGGGGACCTGACATTCGCTTACAACCTGTTCTCAGTGTACTGACAGGCAATGCTTAGCATTAAAGAAGTGAGTAAAAACATATTCGTTGCTGCAGCAAACTGAAATCGTGGGAATGACCTTAGTCATCACTTTCATAGGACGTGTTGACGATGCAATGATGATATAACCCATGACGCAATATTTACGATTGTCTCATCTCCACCTTGACCAGTATATCATGATCTCCAACCATTCTACGGAGTACCATCACTCATTCTCAATAACCTTCACACATCTACCATCATGGCAGAGCAAGATATCTACGGCGGTAAACTCGCCAATCATTCCCCATCCCTTCCAAAAGGCACATTCACCGGCTCCGGCGCCGAGCAAGACATTTACGCCAACAAACTAGCCGGTCACGCCCCCTCTCTTCCCCACGGGGCATTCACCGGATCTGGAGCCGAACAAGACATCTACGGCAGTAAATTCGCCGACCACTCTCTCCCCAGACCTTCTCCCTTCGCTGGATCTGGGGCCGAGCAGGATATCTACGGCAGCAGGTTTGCCAGCCACCATCCTCGGGCTAGTTTCGGGGCATCTGGCGCCGAACAAGATGTTTACGGCTCGCATTTCAACCGCACCGCGTATCAAGGTCTGGGCACTAGCGCGCTGGGACTACTGCACTCCGCAATCTTGCCGTCTTTTAGTCTGCATGCTGGGTTGTCGGCGGTCGCGTACGGGGTTTCGCGGTATACGGATAGGGTTGAGGGGAAGGATGTTCTTTGGGCTTCTGGAATGACGCTGAATGCTTGGTGGAGTGCTATTGGCGCTAAGTACGTTTACGATAATGTTGCACCTATTGATGCTTGGAATGGTCTTGGATACTCGCAGAAGCTTCTTCTTGCTGGTGTTACAGCTTGGGGGGCGAGACTTACTTCTCGCGTTGTGTCGCGAAGCTTGAAGCGTGGAAAGGATGATCCTCGCTATGAAGTTAAGAGAAAGGATCCTGGTTTTTGGAATAAGGCGCTTTTTACTACTTTCTTGCCCGAGGCGGTTGCACAGACCATCATCTCGCTTCCATTCACAATCCCCTTCCGCGCTGTGGCCGAGAGCGCCGTTGCTTCACCTTTTACTTCCAACGGATTCGTCTTCCACTCGCTAGCCATTTTTTTGTTCACCACCGGCTTCGCTCTCGAGACATTGGCTGATGCCCAGCTTGAGTCCTTCAAAAAGGATGAGACCGCTCAAGGCATCAATTGCGAAGGTGTCTGGAGCATTGTTCGACACCCCAAGTAAGTTCTTATCTCAACCAACAAACATACCGAAGCTAATGAATCAAGCTATCTTGGCGACGCCCTAATCCACGCCTCGTTCCCTATGCTTCTCCTCGGCGCCGGTATCCTCCATCCTATCACTGCTCTTGGTCCAATGGCCAACTACGTATTCCTGCGTTATATCGGTGGTGATAGGGAGAACGAGGAGAGTCAAGCTGAGCGATACTCCAAACACGATGCAGTAAAGGCACAGGAGTTGGAGGAGTACCGTCAGCAAAAGAACAGCTTCTGGCCTAAGTTGGAGGAGTTGAGAAACAGCTGGACGCTTGCAGTGTTGGGTGTTGGTGTCGCTGGTGTTGTTCTCGAGAGAGGACTCCGGACCATGGTTTGAGAGAGGGTATGTTCGGATGAATCATGGAAATATCGTTGACAATCAAGAAATGCTGTCTATTTTATATCTGAATAACGTCATCCTCCACTCTGACCTACTGAAGTCATCCCGCTGTCGTGCTAACCGCTCGGCCGACGTAAGCGTGTCAATGATTCATGCGTCACTACCGAGACCACTAGGCGAGTTGAATTGTGTAAATATTAAGTCTCGTGACCTGGGCATCAAAACTATCGATTTGGCCTGACCAAAGAATAGCCTCTTGTGCTCCTGAGCTTTGGAACCCAATGACAGTAGCATTGTTTGCATGAACACCTGCACTTATGATATTCTACCTCCCATTACTTTTGCCTCATGTAATCTGAAGCATATGAGTCCACGAAAGAACCGCTAGTCGATAATACAAGTTCATGCTTCGGAGGGGGCGCAAAGAACTATTTAGCTCCAGTGGTCTTCCTGACCTTGACGTCAAATACAGGGCAATGGCCGCTTACCAAAGGCAATTAACAGTCAGCATCTGTGTTTGGGGGTTTTATCGAAGCGTTTTCTTTTGGTAGATAGACCTTGACGGTAAGAGTTTTGACTCGAGACTTCGGTTCACCAGTCACTATTTGTAAGGTGTAATGGATTGCGGCTTGTCGGATGTCATTGCAAACTTTGGTTATACAGACCCTACGTGGGTCTCACCAAGGAATTGTCGAACCATGCTTACATTGAACTTTTGCATTTTTTAACTCACCTGACGTAGTCAAGCCGGTGCAATCTTCCGTAACTGATGTTTAAGACCTTTCGTGAGGAGCAAACTACTCTTACACATCCGATACATAGAATTGATGTCAGTACTGTACAGCCCCACAGAACTGCCTGAGGCTTTTTCTTGTCAATATTCCTTACATGTCGGGCAAAAGGTTAAGGTCCCAGAAGGGCAGTGGGGGCTTTTGTGAAGATTTGCGAGAGCAAAGCTAATTCATAGAATCTTTTGAGCAAATCTCTCCTGCCGGGTTGCCATATAAATTTTCTGGTTTCTAATAATCTATTCATCTCGGCACTTCGTACTCGGCAGATATAATTTTGCTGTTTCAAATGGCTAGGCTGCCAGAAAGTCCCATCTGTAACAAGCCCAGGAAATCAATAGCATGCAACTAGCTTTTCCAAGGCCATTGACGTGTCACAAAGTGGCAACATGGCTTGAAAAGCCACATAGACCATTGCCCGGTAATGGGGATGCAGGGACGCTTAAGACGGAGGGACCCCTATTCTCAGTAACAAAAACGCTTAGGTAAGTTTGCAAAGATTTACTGGATTCTAGACTAGGCATTTTTGGCACCCCAGTTTCACGTAAGGCGTCTCCTTTCTCCCTTGGGCTTATTTAGCATAGCCTAGTTGCATTTATACCGTTTCCAGCGGGGCTACGATGGGGCTCAGCTCTATGCCGGTCCCTTGGCGTCCTCCAGCACAATCCCAAGGTCCACTAATGCTTCTTAAGAGGGCGAGACACGGGAACCACGCCACGAAAAGGCAATATTTGAAGTTCTGGGGATGCCGAGCTAAGCGCGATACCCTATAGTAATGGTTTAAAATGATTAAAGTAAGCCAATCTTGACTAGAAACATATCGATGTCTTGATATGTTATAGAAATCTTTGTATAAAGTGATAGCTACAATTTGTAAATGTAGAGGCTATGGTCTTCTAGAAATGATTATTACTTACTAGTGGAAGTGTCAACAGGGCCGATGTTTTGACGATTGTTCATTGATGATTTTGGTATCTCAATTTGTAATCGAAAAAGTCCAATAATCTCTTCTGAGACCATAAGGACCTCCGCGGGCCAGGCCGCTAGTGATTGGCCATCCTTTGCGATGGGGGGTAGGCAATATACTGGGGTTCGTGTTGCAGACTAAATGCCCTTCGCTTATTACTGTGAATCAGTCTCTCGATTTCACAATCTTCTAAAATCCACCGCTCAACGGTCTTGCCATTTTGGTTTTACACGTAATACTCCGACATGTGCTTAAAAGTTAGCGATTAGGGTGGGTCTGCTGGCCACCGGCTACAGATTGCTCGGCGGCATTCTCGATACCATTGTATGTTGACCAGACAAGGATCTGATTCCGGTGAACTCCAAGATCCAAGAGTTGAGCAAGCTTTTGGCAAGCTACCAGGGGCCGGTGTCGCAAATCCCACTTCCGCAAGCGGCTAAAACAAGCGAGATGTCACCTAAAAATCGCTAGGGACTGCAAGAAAGAGACCACGTTTATTCCCATGTGTCTACTGCCGGCATGAACGCAAGAAGACGTTGAACCTGTAGAAGACAAGGAAATTTACCGGGAAGAAACATCCGCAAGGTTGAGATGTGATAGTGATTGGTCTCGGGTCCGAAAGGGTTCAGCCCCCGAGCTGAGACATGGGCCGGTGAGCATAGCATCTTTTTGGCTGCATGGCCGAGCCGTGTCTTAGAATACATTTTCGCCACCAATATGGAGACATGACCAGCCCTAAGCTCGACTAGCCTTATATTGAATTCCTTGCATAAATGTAAGATCGTAGGGTTGCAGCGATGCTCATGCTTGTATATACCTCAGAATACTCTTACTTGCGTTCCAGACTATGGCAACCCAGACAGAAACGGGATACAGAAGCTGAAGTTTAACACAATGAAGGTTCAATTGGGGTTCACTTTTACCGTCTAGAATAACATTAGCCATTACCATATCATATGATATGCTATTTGAGGACTGCACATTCCAAATACAAAAAGCCTCAGTAGACATAGGTTACCTGCGTTGTTTACAATTATTACGCAACCCTCCAGGGTCCATGAAGTTTTAGATCTATGTAGGGGACTGCTCAGTTTCTTTTCCCAAGCCCAAATGCAGATCGAAAAATGTCGCCAAGCGAATTATTTCCGTTTTGGTGCCTAAGACACGGCTCCGAGATTGTACTAGTTGCTATGTCTCAGAGCGCCGATCTGTCACTGTACTCAGTCTTACCATTATGATTGGCTTTCGTTTGCCACTCTTGAGATGTGCGCCCGTCTGCAGATGATCAGCTTTCGGAGCAGTCCACGTAATTCAAGAACAGAAGAAGGCATTGGCACATTTTATAAATAACATCAAACTTACTCACGAAAGACCAGTTTCAAAACCACCAGTTAATTATCCTTTTTACTATTGAATATGTCAACACCGCCTTTGTCCAATAACCCGACAGGGTATCTTCACACTCCGACGTCAAGCAGCGCAAGTAGGAAAAGAAAAGCAGAGGAAATTCTTCCGTCTCCCTCCTACCCGCGCCAAAAACCCCTAGCACAGCCTACAGTCATGTCATCTGCCACTGCTCCAGCAAACCCAATATCTCCTATTTCATACCCGCAGTCATCGCCTCAGAGCAGCGCCGACGCTTTTTCATCAAGGATTCAACAGGCCATTGATCTACACTTTCAAACATCGGAGACCAATGCAGTCCTTCCTTTCGCAAATGATCCAATTATAGATAGCGGGGATACCACAGACGACATCGATCTATCTTCTGTACGTTCTTACTTACTGCTTCTAAGTTCAATGTAGCTGATTGCACACAGGACTGCAACTCATCGCGCCATGAATCATCAACGCGATCAGAGACAGAGTCTGACTGGTCAGATACAGAGGACATAAGCCAAGAGATCCTGGACGTTACAGATCAAATCAATGAGACAGTAGAAGCCAGGAAATGGTTGTCCTTTATCGATCACCATCTTCACAAAATATTGCACGGACTAGCCCAAATCGAGGGGGCCGCAGCGCAGGTGGCCAAAACCACGAATTCCGTGTTTGTGTTTTCTGAGAACATTTATCATCTCAAGGAACAGGTCATGCTTTTCCACATGTGCCAGCAGCACAAGGTAGAGGAGTCCTACGGAGAACAAGCGTTACTCAGGTCCAAAGTGAGAGAATTGCAGGAGCTTTCGGATGCCCAGGTGAACGGCATTTCTAGCCACTACTGTCACAGCATTTGTCGGCCACCAGAGGAAATTAATACCAGTATATGTCGGGCTGCATTCAGGGGATAAGGGTGTATTAGATTCTAATGTAAGACGTACAAAAATAAAGCTATTACGCTTGGCAGGCTAGTCTACGTTTCTTGCTGTCAACCTATCGTGATTGACAAGAATGCCTTTGGCTTGACGATTGCAGCGCAGTCTTCTGAGGCATTACAGACTACCTTGTGAATGTCTTCAGTACTATTCCCATGTTGGGTTTCCTTATTTTCCATGAACTGAAAGACGATATAGAATCATCTGAGGTAACGAAAACGTGACCCCCACGGTGATGTATTACGTGTGATTAGAAGGCTGAAGAAGAAGCCGTGACCGTTCTTGCGTGACACAAGCTTTACGAGTTTATTTCTAGAAGTCTTGTGGAGCAACAAGACACCGGCTGTATTTGTGCTATTGAGTCAACGCGACCATGGAAGTAGCCCAGGATGTTGAGGAAAAACAACAAATCTATTTCGAAGAAAGACTGCCCAAAAGCTTCTACATGGCCGTCCTCCACTTGAAGGGTTGACGTAGCAATCTCTTTCCACACTAATAAAAGAACTTCGTTCCATACATGAATGGGAACGCTTCCGTCATTTCCCAAGGATCAGCGTCGACGGTCTCCCGTGAGAGCCTGAGCGAGCTTTGCTCTTGGTCTTTCCCATAAGCACTTGGCATTGTCGGAGATCATCTGGACTTTGCAGGAACTATATTCGTAGTACAGTTTGATAAATTATCCCGTCATCCGAGTATCCTTTCACGTAAATTAGTCATAGGAGCCCACAAAGGGTTATCTTGGCGTACCAACAACCTGTCCACTTAGAGCGAAGAACCACCTACCTTTGCTGTACTCTACACCACAGCCAACTGCATCATCTGGCCCGAATTTACAACACATGGTCCTATCGCTGGCGGTATTGTACTCCCAGATACTGCTGTTCAGGTCGTGGGCCATGACTTCATCATCCGCGTGATAGGCTCTAGACCAGGTCCTAGAGCCAATGCAAGCGAGCAGACGCTCGCCTTCATCGACGCCTCGAGTACGAGCTCCTACCTGAGAGTCTTCAGCAAAATTATCTGCATCGGACTTTGGCGATATCTTGACTTTGAAATATTGTATCGAATCTTGGCCAGGGCGGACAGGACGTGGGGGGAATGGTCAGTCGGACCGTAGAGCTATGGGATTGCATGACTGACTGTATCTTCGTAAGCAGGGCAATTGCAATTACCTCATAACTGATACCAATAGAAATGAACGCCCAGACCATTATTTTAATTCTCAAATCGTTTTCCCCACTCGGCACCGCCTAAGGCCCATTCCTGAGGAAACATAACTCCCTGTATGGGCTCGTAAACTGTCGAAGACAATACCGCATCTGGAAATGAAGTTCTTGCCCTTGCCTGATGAACAAAATGGTCAATATTCCAGCCATCCTAATCGACGACACCTATATGAAGACGGCTCAAGCTTTCTGCCAGATACCAGGCGCTTGTCGAATTCGGTGGCCATGCGAAGCCCATTGAATACAAGCCCTAGGGATCTTACGCCTTCGATGTCGGATGGAATAAATGTGGTACAAGCTTTGACGAGAGCTTTTTTGCATATCTTCCAGAGATTATGCCACGGTCCAGAGGTGAGCTGTTATCAGCGGTGCATTGCAGTAAAGTGTTGAGTGTCCTCCATGTTGAACTCCTTGATAAGGTCAAGCAGACGGCTAGTAGGCTCCTCCTCCCGTCCTTTCTCATTCGGAACTTTGTATTGCAAGTCCAAAGCCAGTGAGCCCATCCTGTGTAGTCTTTGCCGCATCCCCGCCGTGTTGCAAAAGGTATTCAACCACTGGATATTGCACCCAGGCGATAGCTAGGCGTAGAGCAGTGTATCCATCTGCCTTGGGATGGTTGGGATCCGCCCCGTGTATACCGAGCAACTCAATGGTTTCCAAGTTATCAATAGCCACGTGAAGTGTGGCCCGGCGGCCGTTGATGCATGGGCCGATGCTGAGGTCTGGTTCGTATTTGAGAAGGATGCGGAGACTCCTCAGTCCAGAGCTAGAAGCGGCAAGGTGTGCTGGTGTTCTACTCAAGATGTCAAACATGTCACGTTCTGCATCAGTCTTCAGAAGAACCCCGACAAATGCCGCCTTGTCGCCCTTGGAGGCGATATGAAGCGCTGTTTGACCCCGTTCGTTCAAGGCGTCGATTGAGACATGTTTCTCTAAGAGAATCATCACGTTATTGAGGCGTCTATTCTTAGCTACTGTATGTATGATGTGTTCATGTAGATCGTCCTCGTGCGTGTGACTGAGGTTGACGTGTATTCCTCGCTCGATGATGTGGTTGAGGATATATTGGGACGGACTGTCGGCAGCCTTGTGCAATAGCAGTGGATATGATGTTCCAAAGCCATTCATACCAAAATGAGACTCAAAAATGTCAAGGCTTCTGGACTCAATAGCCCATAACAGTTCCTGTAGGTCGTCAGTATTCGAATTTCGGTGATGCCAGAGTTGCCACAGAACTTAAAGATTTCCGTGATGCATGGTATAATAGAACGGCGTCTTCTCCTCCTCGTCGAGTGCCTTGACCCGCCTTTTTGTTCATTAAGGTGTTTAACCGTTGCCAGTCGTCTATTGCGAGCTGCGAGATGCAAGGCCACACGTTTGAAGATGTTCGCGACATCAGGCGCAGCACCATCATCAAGAAGGACCACAACAACATCTGGGGATTCAACTGCCGATTTGAGAGGTATCTCTTTGGTCCGCGACAATGCCTCGGTACTTGCCTTGTTCATCAAGAGCAGCTAAACAGTAGCGACATGTCCCCCTTGCGCAATATAATGCAACAGCGTCTCTCGTGTCTGCGGCATTGGCATCAGCCCGCGTTTGAGAAGCACTTTGCAAACCTCAAGTATTCCTCTTTTCGCTGCAACACATAGGGGTGTTTTGCGTTGATCGGCAACTGCGCTCACTGAAGCCTTCGACCTCAGAAGTACATCCACGATTTGTCCGTGACCTCTCCAGGAGGCCTCAAATAATGGGGAACGATCTTGGAACATAAATCTTGATGGAACAGAGTTCTTGCTAATCAAGAGGTGCTGAACGATGAGCAGTTGGCCTCGCTTAACTGCTATGTAAGACAACTCATTTCTTTTTTGTTCTAACCGGTTCTCAATTAATAGACAGAGTGCATCTAAATGACCCCAGTCCACCGCGATTGTTGCTGCCTCAGCCAGATTCTCTCCTATGAGAAGATGCTGGTGAATAAGAAGCTTCCGAATAATGGCTATGAAGTTTCCTAAGGAAGCGTATCGAAGGGGAGTGAGGCCGAACTTGTCCTCAAGCTTCATGATACGCCGCAATGAACTGCTTGTATCAGCGCAGCCACGATCTCAGATGTTGATGAAAGATCTCCTATTTTTGTAGATACGTGGAGCGCGGTGGAACTTTCACAGTTTTTGAGATGAGAAACCTCCTTGGAAAGTGGTCGACAGATGACAGAGGAGCACTTAAGCACTGCGCAGTGCAAAGAAATCATGCCACTATCAGCCTGGACTGACGCGTCTGCTCCGCATTGTATCAATGTCTCTACAGCCTGAACCTTGCCCATATTGACTGCACTGATTAAAGACGTTTGCCCCTTCGTGTTCCTGCTGTTGAGTAAACTCGTAAGGTTCGAGCCTTTCCCCTGTTTATTAGGAACTCCCAATGGTAGCTGAATCATACTGGAAGTACCCCAGATGCAGATACATGGAGCCCCGTAATTCCACTGTCGTCCTTAATTGCAGGGCTAGGGAGCCGCTGAAGAAGCACCTATGAGACCTTCAAAGGTCCTGCCTGAGATGCCCGATAAAAGTGAGCATCTCAGATGCCCATCTTATCGAGAACGTCCTTTGTCAGGCAGATACCATCGTTCGCGATAGCACAGGCTGAACAAGGGATGAGCGAGCGACCGGGGAAGGACACTGCTGTCTCTGATCATCCCCTGCGCCTCTGAATATCGACAAGATCTTCTGCAAGTGATGCAGGCGAAAGAAGCTCTGGGACAAGAGCTCCAAGTCCAACGAAGCAGGCAATGCGGACTACTGGTGACTGATATGAGCCTGCCCCGACCCCAGGTGTCGATCTGTCACGCCCATCGAAGAAAGATTGTCCAGTAGCCGCTGGAATCGGCTCGTCAATCTGGGCTACCTTTTTTCCCGGCTCTTCGTGTGAGAAGAACGAACGCAAGGGCTTTCCAAAATGGGTAAGGTACGATTGGAACGACTTTGGACCAAGAATTGACTGGATAAATGAAGAGGTCTGTGGCTGGAGCTGCTTGTTAGGTTTGTCGATGAGTAGGTAGTACTTGGGCTAGGATCTATAAGCATAGAGGAGGAATATTACAATAGCTATCATGCCTATTATTGGTGGAGCTCTGACTAGCTGCCTTATTTGAACTGGCAGAGGACCTTTAGGTACCTCGCTATCCTTTTCGGATTTTGTCTTGTACTTTTCGCCGTGGTGCCTCGTTGGTGGCCCGATCAGTACTTGAAATTAGTCATTCAGTAGTTTTGAGATTTGCTAAACTATTATTAGGAAAATCCAGAAGTGACTTAAGAACAAAATGGAAAGGGTACCTTCTAGATTTGCATCTTTGAAGTATGCTGGGATAAAGATGTGCTAGTAAAAGCAGCTGTTTGGCTATCAGTCAGGGGGCAAATACTCTTTGGCCATTGGTTGAATCCCACGTTTTCTATACCCATAGAGTTCTTCCTCGAAGCTATTCACAGATTAAGGTGCGCAGCAGCCAATAAGATAAGCCGGAAAAAGAACCTATCTCCCATCGAGTAGTCCTTGGTGATGTCCCTAGGCAAAGCATTAAGCTAGCTGAGATGGAAGCACCCAGGCCCCATCTCCATCCTCATCCTTTACAACAGCGAAGCCCTCCAAGTCTTTCTCATCTAGATCGTGGGGCTCATAGTCAACCTCGTCCCCTTCGTCGTTCGTGATCACAGGTCCATCATCAGCCAGGACGGCCCCCTCGTACACTCGCTTAACTTTGAGGGTAGACGGACCACCAAAGAAGGCTGTCTTGTGGTATATCTTCTAGACTTAGATGCCAATGACAAAGTCGACCGGTTCAGAAAATGAAGAAAAAACGTCGGCGCCAGAGAATGCGCCAGCGTGGCCCCCAATTTCCAGGTCGATGGGCCCTTCGGGTCCTTGGATGCTGGCCCCTGCATTGGCCCCCTTGTGGCGGCTGCGCATCGTAGCCATAGTTGCACCGCGCGCAGTCTTCAGTCCCGTGATAAGATACAGGGAGTCTTTGTGGTCGTTCAGGTTCTGAAAGGCCTTGACATCGTCGAGCTGAAGGCATTTACTGTAGTAGCTGGGTGGCGGGGTGAATTCGATTGTCTCCAGTGCGTCCATTCTCCAAACCGAAGAACTGTAGTCTTCTTTTTGGGCGCTGACCTTGCTACGAATGGCATGAAGCACCTTGGTAAGGATGCGTCCATAGCCACCCCAAGAGCGCCGCTTGGCGAAATCGACTTCTCCCTTGTCGACGAGGGTGCGTCGCTCATCGGCAATGGGAACCCGGTTGTGGATGCCGAAGTTGATGGGATCGTAGTCCTTGAGGTTGTTGACAAGCGTTCCAAGATGGAGCTTGCCTTGGGGAGAGGGGAGGATGGAGAAGTTTGGCGCTACATGATAGGTTGGGATTTGTTTATCCAGCTCTGGGTTTGCGTTTTGTCCAAAGTCCATGATTAGGAATCAATAGATGAAATGAATGGTGCGTGTGAAGAAGCGTGTCTGAACCAAGACCTTCTGTATTTATTGACAGAATGAGTTTCCTGAGGCTTCAAGTGCTCTCACTTCAACATGCCAATACTGCCTAACTCTATATGTAAATCTGCTTGTTATCGCCATTGCCGTGTAACATGAGTGAGAAGGAGAGGGCGTGGCCCAGGGCTGTTTAGGCTGCCACCGTGAGAAGATGATGTATCGCATGTTACACTGATTGCGATTGATGCTTGACCGCCTCCCCAACCACGTCGCCTTTTTCACAGGTATCTCAAAGCCTCTCCGATTGTCCTCGCCGCCTCACCGTCCGCAGGCGGAGTGCCCCAATTCTCCCAGATCCGAGTGGGGTGGATGAAATCGTATCCGTCCCTCGACTCAGCCATCTTTCGAAATATTGCCTCCATTCCCCGTTTCTGATACACAGCGTCCCGTTTGTGTCGGGGGATGTTTGTGCATTTATGCGTCGTGAACTCAATGGCCATCACTGCAAACCCGACTGCAATGGGTACCGCGTACGAGGTACCAGACTTGTAAATATCGTCTCCTCCCCATCTCAGAGGAACGGCCACGCCGAAAGTGGCAAAGTTGTCAGCCCTGTCCAGCGGCGAGGGGTTCATCTTGCCCTTGTTGCCCAAGGTGTCTGTCGCGTGGATGCAAATCACACCATCGCGACGCGCAGGCCTGGCGCGCCCTTTCAGACCTCCCTTGTTGGAGGCTGCAGCGAAAATCAGCTTGTCGCGGCGGATGGCGTTTGCGAGTGCCGCGTCAATCATAGCGTTGTCTTCCTCGTAGGCGAAAGACATTGAGATTATGTGGACGTCACATTCATTGACAGCCCAGTCGATCGCCTGGGCAGATGTACGTGTCAGCCTTGGGGTTTCACAAGGCGCCATCGTCAACCCACCTTTGCAATTCTGTTCATGTATCCCGCCTCTACGGTCTTGCCTGTGCATATCTTGCCAACGTAAATTTCAGCTGTCGGGGCTGTCCTGAGAAGCAGTTGCACCATTTGTGACCCATGGCCGTGGGTGTCTTGTTGCCAGCTGTCTTCCGCGTCAACGAAACTCTTGCTTTTGGAGCTATTGATGTGTTTGGTCGCAATTGCTCCGTTGATGAGGGCGATTTCCTTACTGACACCGGAGTCCAGAACTGCAATTCGTATCCTGGGGTGCCGTTTCTGGGCAAGCTGAGGTTTCTCCGGCCGAATGCTTTTGATGAATGCTGCAAGCGGACCGAGGTCTTCGAGAAACGCCTTGGACTTTTTCCTATTGAAACATCTTGGTGAGACAGAGCTCTCCTCACGGCCTCGCTGGAGTTAGGCGACTTACTTTTCTTGTTCGCTTGGTGTATCATCTTCATCGTCGAATAAGATCGGTCTTTCTCCCACTGCTAAGGGCTTACTCACTGGCGGGGCCAAAGGGCGCCCAGGCCCCAATATGTCATCGAAGAGGTCCGCACACTCTTCGAAACTATCGACAAGCTGGTCATATAACGGCACCAGGATCTTTTTGTAGATGATAGCCAACCCTTTCCTGTCTGCGGAAATGCGTGGTTGATCGAGGGTGTCAACTAGGGTGTTGAATTCGAGGCATGCTTTGGCGATCTGACGATACTTATCATCGACGTCGCTCTGCCACTCGGAGTCCCCCAATATCCGAGTCAAACGTGAGATATTTGATCCTTTCCCAGAGACTTCGTCTGCTTCTCCGGCACTCCAACTGGCCTTGCCATTGGCCTCCAGTTCCATGACAAGAACTCCAAGGGCTGCAATATTGTCGCTCTGCAGTCTTCTATCTTGATTGGATTCCAGAGTGCAATGGATTCTGGGACACCACTGCTGAAGATCTTTGTTGACGGGTGGTGGCAAATAAATGTGTTCTAGTTCAAGGCGTTGCTCGATCCATGGACTGTTGCTAAGCTGGAATACTGAAGCCGCGAGGAGTACTGAGGCCAGTTTGCGGTACCTGGCTTTCAAGCTTTTCTCGGTGAGATGTTGATTTAGAGACTCTTCGTGTTCCACGATACTTGGCAGTTCTACCCCTCCCCCAGAATCAACCCACATCATTTCTGGATCGAATGAGACACCTAATACGCCAGATCTCGCACCATCCGACGAGGCAGTGGAGCATAACTGACGCGAGCGAAAGGGTTTAGACGAAGAAGGCCGGTTGAATGATCTTTTCCAGTGTAAGAACCTGCGGTGATATTGCTGCGCACGGAGACGACTGACCTTGTGAAGACGGCGGAGACTGAGTCTGTCTCTTGGCATGTCTTGATGTCCATCACGAGGCGGTCTTGCTTGAAGCCGGACATGTGAAGCTTGGCTGTGTGCGGGGCTCCGCATGTTGGATTGTCGGCCATTTTTGTAAAGAGTGATGTGCACGCGGATGAAAATACGTGAGCGTGCTGAATAACGTCTATATCGTCAAGGGTCATGTCGTCCACCAGTGTCTCCAACTCCCAGTCTGCGACTGAGCCTTCCGATACTTGCGTCAATGCACGTTGAAAGTTGCTCGTCGACATATGCAATTTTTCGATCAATTTGGGATCACTAGGGAAGTCGATGTACTGGGACAAGTCTTTGACTGACTGAGTAGAGTATATCGGGCTCACAATTGATTTTGCGCTTTTGCGTCTCTCTGGGGCCTCTGGGTTCGACCTGTTGCTGGAATTATCGTGGGACAAACCGCCGTCATCTGCCTGTGGTATCTCGCGATACTTGAGGGCCTCCCACAGTGCCACGAGTTTCGGGAAGCTACTCAGGGTGCTCAGGCTATCTGGTCCTATGTTGAGCTGGGTAGGAAGCAATATTACGTCAGTAAAGAGCGTCAACAGAAGCTGAAAGTCGGTATTCGAAGCTTGCTCACCTCGATACGTTCTACCTTGCAAATGCCCTCGTGGACTAAATCCTCCAGGTCGCTCAACAGCGCACCCAAGCTAGTTGCAAATTCCCCCCACTCCGCAACATGACTTGAAAACTTGCCGACATCGAGACTGTCCTGCCTTGGGATATTGTATTCGAATTCAGACCGCAGGTACTCGACCACACGCTCGAGCTGAGTCTTGTCATGTCCCGACAGTGTCCCAAAACGACCTGAACGTACTTCATCGGCGCTAGGGAAAGTTTCGGCAGCATTGAACACTCGGTGGGAGGCCTTTAGGAGGCGCCACCTGAGGCGAAAGGAAGCGACATCTGTCATGGCCAACGTGCTGCGCTGTTGGGCACTGCACGGCGCCTATTGTTGGGAAAGGACTCGAAAGAAGAGGCGCAGTGAACAAAGAAACAAGCGAGACATGACCCGATGGTGAAAATTCGAGTCTTTCGCTTTCTTTTTTTCCTGTTTTTCCTTTCCTTTTCTTTGGGTTACACTTTGTGGCCTCCCCCAATGGGTCTGTCACGCCCAGATAACGCGACGCTTGTACCTAGCCCTGATCCTATTTTCAGACACGCGGCGTTACACAGCTTCGTCATTCATTGTCGCAGCACGCACACCCTCATTGTCCACAAAGCAAATTAATTACGTGGCATTCAGTTCCTCTTCCTCGTCGGCTCCTCTCGACTCATCGACCTTATAAACCCTAACCCGTGCCCCTTATCTGTCTATCCGTCCGTACGACTGGACATTTCCGACTTTTAAGACTCCATGGACGAGCAACACGAACATCTGGCCACTCTGGCGCCCATCAACACTATCACTCGCAAGTGCCTTGACAAATTTGAGTTGGTCGAAAAAGTCCATCACAAAGACCGCCTCGGACACCTGATCAAGCCAGAGTCTTCAAAAGGACAGCAGCGCTCATCGTTTTCCTTCCCAGGGCTGCGCAACAAGTTTCTACGTTGGATCCACAAATCGGGTGCCCTTTCTCCATTGGATTTATCGCTTGATGAGAGACTCAAAGGACTCAGGGCTCTCTTCACAATCGTGAATGACATGTTGGAATGGATTCTGAGAAACTTGAACCGCCGTAAGTTTTAATGTTCCCTCCCTACCAGCTAGCTTCAACGCTGATATCTTGACTATGATACAGTCGCAAACATTCCATGTTCTGATACCTTGCCTCCCTCGGGGGAGCACGATGACCACTGGCTGTTGTGGGAAGCGGCTTCGAGGGCAATAGAGAATGCTGTGGATCGCCTGCAGTTTATGTCTTTTGAAATGAGGAGATTATCCCCTCAGCAGGTTGAGGACTTGCTGACGACGACGACGACCGAAACTGAGGAGCACACCGCTTTCCGTGATAACATGATTGCGTTAGTTGGTTATCGTTTTCCTGCCGCGCGCATAGGCTTGTGCGAGCTGTTGGGGAAGTCAATAGCCGCAAGACGTCACAAGCTGTTGCAAGTGCAAGCTCGTGAAAGATCTGCCAATAACAGGATTTCCAGACAGACGGCCTCTACTCCCAGTCGAGACAAGAACAATAGTTCGAGATCGAAGGCGGCTGTCAATCAAAAAGACCGATGGACCCAGTCCCCAGGCACTACATCCTTCACTAGTGTGACAACAGCCTCTCAGTCTGAACCTCGAGCGCCTGCCTTGGAGCGCGTCCAAGGCCCGTCGCAAAAAGCTCTCAGGAGGGTCATGAGCAATTTCACCACCCCACAGCATGACACCTCTGATTATCCCCCCATGCCCAAAGTCAGTCAAGGACAAGGAGCAGTTCAGTGTCCCTTCTGTTTCATTGTATGGGAGCAAACAAACTCGGAGTCTGTGAATCTGGGGCTATGGAAACTCCACATTGATGAGCACATCAAGCCATATTCTTGTCTTTTCCCTAGATGCGCGGATGCCCTCACGTTCTTTGTGCACCAAAAAGAGTGGGAAGACCATATGGAATCTGTGCATTCCAGTGACTGGCTACGAGAGGTCCACACAAAACAATGGTATTGCGATTCCGGCCATGAAAGCACCTTTACCTTTGAGCTCGAGTCTCAGTGGAGAGAGCATGTGCTCGATCCTGCGTCTCACCCAGAACGACCAGAAATTCCCAATCAATTTCAGCTCAAGGCCTTATTTCAGCTGAAACAACGGAGAGTTCCGCGCGATAGGCTCGTTTGCCTCTTGTGCGAGCGGATTCCTGGAGAGGTACAGCATAAGCTGGAAACAGGTCATGACGATCCAGCCGACTTGCACAAATATGTTGTGGACCATGTTGCCATTCATTTGAAGTCGCTTTCTCTGTTGGCCATCCCTTCTCTCGGAGAACCTGCTGATGAAGCCGTCAAACTTGGTCAAAATTCGGCTGTTTCCACAAAAGCCCAAAGCGAGAGCCTTCCCAATCCCGAATCCCTGGCAGACCTACAGCCCGCTGTTTCTGACACGCCTCCAGGTCAATTTCCTGGCCAAAAGCATGAGGCTCTTGCTCTCAACAAACGAGAAGAGTGGGATGACGATTTTCTGGGTTACACGCAACCTGACGAACCACCAGAGCCAGACAGGCATTTCGGGCTTGATGACATTCGTCAATGGGAGTATGACCAACTTTCTGGAAAGGATCCAGTTCCGACCCATTTGAGCTCAAGTGAAACGCAAACGTCTACCACTGATGTTGACTTTCAAGACGATGTTGGTCAGACGGCGCTATCACTCGCCGCACAGCAAGACAATGTAGAGACCATGAGGCGACTCATCAATATGGGGGCAGATCTTGAACTGGCTGATCGAGACGGGAAGACTCCGCTGTGTTGGGCAGCTGCCGAAGGTAAAGAAAGTGCTGTCAAGTTCCTTCTAGACAAAGGTGCTCGGATTGAAGCTACAGAGCACATATATGGACGCACGCCGTTGTCTTGGGCTGCTGCGAGAGGCCACGCCGGCGTCGTACGGGTGCTATGCACGAACGGTGCGCATGTGAATGCAATCGATGATTCGAATCGCACTCCAATGTCGTGGGCAGCTTCAAGAGGAAACGAAGAAACCCTGCAGCTTCTCATCGATGCCGGTGCAGAGTTCAAGTCCAAAGACTCTGAATTTTCGAGAACTCCACTCCATTGGGCAGCTACCAGAAACAGACCAAACAACGCAAGTCTTCTTCTACAGCATGGAGCCGAGATCGACGCTGTCGACGGGTTATCTAAAACGCCGTTGTGCTTGGCTTGTCAAGATGGATACCCTAATGTCGTCGAGGTACTCCTCAATAATGGCGCAGACATGGAGACCCCGCATCCCAAGTATGCACAAGCTCCTTTGTCTCTGGCGTCTGGGGGTGGATATGAAGATGTGGTGAAGTTGCTGTTGGAGCATGGGGCCAAGATCGACGCAACAGATTCCCACGGCAAGACAGCTCGGGATTGGGCTATTGAGGAAAGACGGTATGAGATCGTCAAATTGCTTGAAACTTATCAGGGGGGACAGATGTCTTTGCCTTACAGATAAATTGTTTGAAGTATGTTTTGCAAAGTTACTTGTTACACAGAAAAGATTAGAAAACCACAAAAAGAATAGACATCATTTTTGCTTCTCGCCAACCACGGATGTCAACTACCAATCAGGGCATCGCCATAGATATTTCGATAGCGAGGGTGAAAAAGATCTTCAAGATCCCAAGCCGCGATAGTCCCAAACACAGAACGACAGACGAGGGATATTCTTAAGGCCTTCCACTCCATCTGGAAGTCATTTTGGAAAATATCAAACTGGAATAACTCACTGTCGGGGCCTTGTCGTCAACAGCCTTTCTTTAAAGCATGTTCAGCATGGGGGACAGAAGAATAACCCGTCGAGAGAACGGGCCATAGAAACAATCTCAGGTAGCTTGCCAAGATTTCAAGACATCACGATAATCTCAAAGGATAGTAGACCTCAAACTCACATCGGTGCGCTTATCTGCATCATAGAACTAATGCAACCATGCAGGACACCCAACCCGATTGACTACGAATGACTCACGACGGATACTGATTTCCGTAGCGAAGACCTCTTTACGCCCGTAACACAAAGCTATCAGACACTAACAACGTCGGTTCCACGATATCCCCGTGGGGTAATTCCTTTAAACGCCGATCCTCCGAAGTTATCTCCACAGGCTCAACCAGGTTGTTGACCTTCTTCGGGGTGTTTACTGGCGCCAAGTGATTTAAGCTTATTCTAGTTATGGAGCCATGAGTGCGGGGGATGTAACAACAACGTGATGATCCTGGGTTCGGTTACAGATCTATGTTGCACTCATGCTAGGTTCAGACGACAGCATCCGACTTGTCCCGAGCAATGACTTCTCACGCGAGCAGACAGAAGATGGCTGTGCCGCGAATAAAAGATCTCGGTGCGTAAAAATTAGCCAGTCGTACAACACGAAGGCCAGGCTACGGTTGGGGGATAACAAGACCCTTCATGACAAGCAACAGCCAAGATCGGCAGTCCTTACGACGCCAAGGCTATTAGACGACATAGTCCACACAACAACTCGTCTACAAATGCATTTACTGGCGCCAAGAAAACGCTTGTAAAAGTGCTTGTGAGAAAATAAAGCACAGGGTAGTATTCGCCATAAGCAATCGACTGATTCAAGCGGGGAAGAGGGCGCCTCGGAGCATAGTTCTGTTCGCCGAGGACCAATGGCATTGGAGCGGAGACGACAACGCTTAAATTTATGCTTGAAGCTTGTGTCGGGAGCTAAACTCTGAATGGCGGGCCGGTTGGTAGATCTCCAAGAGTCGGCAATGAGACCCTTATGTTTGAGAAACTTGGCGGGGAGAGGGCTTTGAGAGAGGATTTTAAACAGTCAGATATAGCGACTGCTGGACAGTAAAAGGGTAGGTATTCGACCATTTTGAAAAGCCTGTTTCTGGATGCATTCATCGAAGTGTTCCACGTACGTCATCGAAAATGGTGAGATGATATCAACGTTCGCAACCATACGAACAAAACACACACGGAAATGCAATATCATCCCTCCTCACAACGGAAAAGCGCACCCTCAATCGTCCCCTCATCCAATCTTGGCAACTCCACATTCACACTCATGATCCTAGCGATACCTACCCCACGGGGAAAACGTGGAGCAAAATAGACCCCGAACCTTTTCCAAACACCCAGCCATGCGCAAATAGATATCGTCATATGAAGATAAAAAGGCCGCAGTGCCCCCGTGTTCAAAAGAGAGGGGGACAGAGACTTTCGCAGTTTATCTTACTTGCTTCCTTTGTCTTTTGAGAGAAATCTTGATATCTTTACTACAACAACCTATTTCTATTTCGATAATCTATGGGCTGGAATACTCATGCGTCGGGCACCAATGATCCGCCTGAGGTGCGGAACTGGCGAATCCACCTGATTGCTACGGTGGCTAGCATGTCCGCCCTCGCCAGTGAGTTCTGTAGTCGTGATGATGAGGTGATGTACTGATTTGCGCAGTCGGATATGACACTTCTGTTATTGGAGGTTTGTACCACTCACCCTCTCTGCATGATAGACTCGTGTTGACCAGATAGGCACTATGGCATTGACCTCTTTCATGAGGGACTTTGGCCTTGACCTCGTCGAAAAGACCCAACGCGACACCATCCAGGGAAACATCGTCTCCACCTTTCAGGTACATCTCACTCTTCCCTATCTCTCCCCTCGCCTCTCTAACATATGCAGGCTGGCTGTTTCTTCGGTGCGCTGTTCACCTTCCCCATCGCCGAGAAATGGGGTCGTAGAAAGACCATCATGGGCGCAGCCCTAGTCTTCCTCCTCGGCGGCGCCCTCATGACCGCCGCAAACGGGAACCTCAACATGATCTACGGCGGCAGAGCCGTCGCCGGTCTTGGCCTCGGAGCTTCCTCCCTCACCGTCCCAGTATATATCAGCGAAACTGCCCCGCCGTCCATCAGAGGCCGTCTCGTGGGTATCTTCGAAATCGCCTCCCAGGGCGGCGGTATGCTTGGCTTCTGGATCAACTACGCTACTGACCGCACCATCGACGTTAACACAAAAACCCAGTGGATTGTTCCCCTGGCGGTACAGCTTCTTCCTGGCTTAGGCCTTGCGCTCGGTATGCTTTGGTGTCCTGAGTCGCCGCGCTGGCTGGCTCGTGGCGATCGCTTTGAAGCGGCAGAGAAGATTCTCGCTCAGATTAGGGGTCTTCCGGCGGAGCATGAGTATGTTCGCAGAGAGATGGGTGATATTCGTGCGCAGGTTGAAGAGCGCAGTACGAATAAGATGAGCAAGAAGCAGCAGTTCAAGAAGCTTTTCCAAAAGGGCGTGCGTAACCGCATGGGTATCGGAATGGCTCTCATGTTTCTGCAGAGTTTCACTGGTGTCAACATCATTACCTACTATGCGCCCCGTATCTTTGAGAGTCTTGGAATTCCCGGTACTTCACTGAAGCTCTTCTCCACTGGCTTCTATGGTATCTCCAAAACGCTCGGTATGGTCCTCTTCACCTTCTGGGTCGTTGAGAAGGTCGGTCGGCGCAAGGGTCTCATCTGGGGTGCTGCACTCGGCTGTATTCCTATGTGGTATATCGGCGGGTACGTGATGGAAGCCGACCCCGCCGCTGCAGCTGCAGCTGGTGTTGTGAACCGCGACGGCTGGGGATACCTTGCCATTGTGTGCGTCTACATCAACGCCATCATCATCTGTGCGACATGGCAGGGTATCACGTGGACCTACGCATCCGAGATTTTCCCCCTCGACATCCGCATGCTCTGCGTCGCCATCACGACAGCCGACACATGGCTCGGATCATTCATCATCGCGCGCTCAACGCCCTACATGATCTCAGACCTAGGCTACGGCGCCTACTTCTTCTTCAGCTCGATCCTCGTATGCATGGGAATCTGGGCTACGTTCTTCGTCCCCGAAACAAAAGGTGCGTTACATCAAACCCATCCTTCTAGACTTATTCCACAGTGTGGCTGACATGCATAATCTCACAGGTATCACCCTCGAAGACATGGACGCGCTATTCGCCAAGCCAGTGTACAAAACGGTCTGGGCGCAGATGCGTGGTAAACCGGTGCTGGAAGAACATCGCCCCGAGTCTCCATTCGAAGACGACGAGAAGGCGCACGAGCTAAGAATACCTTAGCTTCCTCGCTCCGCCGGGGTTTTTCTTTTTTTTTTTTTGCAGCGTTAGATAAACAAATGAGAGGGCTTATCGGCTGCAACCATTTGTGTTCCCCCCCTGTGAAACTGCTACGCCGTGAATGGGTGGTGTGATTCTGACTGCCGTTCCAGAAGGGGACGTTCTCTCCGAAAGGTAAAAAGTCGTGCCTTTTTTTTTAAGTGATGACAGCAGGGCCCTTCCATGTCTCTAATCCGCTACGGCGCTTTCTTATTTCGACCGCGACTCTTCTCTCCTCTCTGCCCATATTATTACCGTGTCGCTCACACATGCAAATACCATTATCGCTGTGCTTTTCCTACCCCGCAAACCTTCCCCAGACTCTGACGTAGATTATTCCCAAGTTTGGGATTTTCATTTGTCATAGCAACAATCTTTCGGGGCCCTTTTGCTAGTGTTACAGTGAGTGGCTTGTCTTCGTGCGGCCGACCAGCTGTTCGCCAAGAAAAGAAGAATCGCTGAGAAATGATGCTATTGGTTTGCGGTGTTGGGGATAACCGCGGGACATTCCCCATTGGGGACTCAATTTGGGCTTTTGTTCGATTCTTGGTTTTTTATCACTGCCAAGACTGCTCGGTCGTCTTGGCGCTGAGGAGAAGTTGTCGTTGGGTGGTGAGAAGAGATTGCGGTTGTGATCTTACCGGGTTGGAGTTGGCCAAGAGATAAGGGAGAGTTTTTGGGGGCGATTGGAGAATGGAATGATCTTTTGTGTCTGAGATACTCAAATTGAAGAATGCGTGCAGGCGTGGTGATGAAACTGAGACTGTCTTGAGGAGTGTTTACCCTGACTCAAATGCCAACCAATGAAACACGCTCTAATTTAAACATCAACGGCGCCCAGTTGCTGCGTCAATCGTTAACAATATTTAACGTAATAAATTCCACTTTGCCCGATCGCATCCCCGGATTTGCACGGCCAATCTCAATGGGGATGGAGATAATGCATCTCTGCACAATTGGCTGACCCGACGCAAGCCAGGTACCCAAGCCACCAACCCTAAAACGTTAGCTGATGATTGGGAATAACCTCCTTCAGGTCTTTTTTATCTCCTTCCCTTTCAAGATGATACAGAATCTCTTGGCGTCGGAGGCCCCAAGCGTTCGGGATCTCTGACAGATTTCTCGGCAAAAGCTGGGCGTAGAATTCGATCTTGGGTATTTATTGGAGGCGAGGTTTGGGGTAACAATCAGTCAGAAACTGTAACGCTCAACGGTCAAGATGTGTAACATTGCTGAATGATTGCTCGCCACTCCATTGAGAGCAAAAAGCCAGCGCGTCATACCCCCCCCCCCCATACCTCGTGATAAACATTTTAAGCTTGTTGTT